TGTAATGGTAGTGGAGTTTACAACTATTTTGTTAAAGGAAGATATGAAGGTGATTGGGTTGATGGTAAGTATGATGGCTATGGGATAGAGAATTGGGCTAGAGGTAGCAAATATAGAGGACAATATAGGCAAGGACTGAGACATGGCTATGGTGTTTACAAGTTCTATACAGGAGATACTTATGCTGGTCAATGGTGTAATGGACAAAGCCATGGTGTTGGATCACAATCTTGCTCTGATGGTAGCTGTTACATTGGTGAATTCAAATGCGCAGTCAAACATGGCCTCGGATGTTACCATTTCAGGTATAAAACGAAAGACTCGTGATCGATATAGCTGGTGCTAGCTGTAATTCTTGGATTCTATTATTATTTTGTTCTTTTTTGGACTGTTAAACTGTTGTTTGTTAGTGGATAGATCAAGAACATAATTTTGTTTGTTAGCTACGGATCAGATCATGCTTTCCTAAAATGCAATGATGATTTTTGTCTCGTTTGATGAAAGGTTATGTAAACGGAGATCGTTGAATGTATGTTATGTTATGCAGAAACGGGGATCGTTATGCAGGTGAATATTTCGGAGACAAGATTCATGGTTTTGGTGTGTATCATTTCGCAAACGGGCATTGCTATGAAGGGTCATGGCATGAAGGTCGAAAGCAAGGTTTCGGAATGTATACATTTAGAAATGGTGATACTAGATGTGGGGAATGGGACTCTGGCAATTTGAAAACTCCATCTCCCCCACTGACTGATGCTGTCCTTCGAGCTGTTCAGGTAATTTTCGCTGACATTTAAAACACTCAGTGTTGATGCATACGCGCATACTGATCCGTCGATGTTTGATATGTACAGGCTGCTAGGAAAGCAGCAGAAAACGCAATTAAACTACGGAGAGTAGATGAACAAGTGAAAAATGCAGTCACCGCTGCGAACAGAGCTGCCACTGCTGCTAGAGTTGCTGCTATCAAAGCAGTACAAAACCAAATGAATGAAAATTTTTGTGACACTACTAGCTAACAATTCAAATCCCATTTTAAAATTCTATAGTTTGGTAAATGTAAATTTACTATGGTTTTAGGCCACCCCGGTAAGCAAAATGTAGCCGGTGGTTGAGTGTAATTTTGCTTTCAAAGTGTTTTTTTTTACTTAAAACCACAATTGTAACTTGTATATAATCAATGTCCTTCACCATATGTATATCATTAATATGAGAATGAAAACCTTTTTCATATATACTTCTTATCGTTATACGTATAATTCAGGTATAAGAAAAATATGCAATATGACTATATTATAGGTGTTCTTTAGTGGGTGCAAGTAAAAGCATTATTGTGCTTGGACTAAAGTGTAGTCTTACTTCTTACGACATCATCATTCATATATATCACTCACTAGTTCAATAGTGGGTCAAAGCTAAACTAAATTTTTGATTTTTCGATCTATGTTTGATATCTACATTGAAATTTGATTAGTTTAAATTCATATTTAGAAGTCCACATCGGGTTTTCGATCCCATGTTGGGGGTACAATAAAAAGTTCACCTAGTTAAAGATGAAAGAGTACTTACTACTCTACCACATTCAGGGGCGAAGTTTCGACGAAAAATTATATTATTAATACGTAATTACTATAATTTTACATGTATATCGAACTCTCTTCGACTACTTCTTGTGTTTATTTATTGGTAAACTAAACCTAAATTAATAAATGGGATTTAGAAAATAAGTGCAAGTCATAATTTTAACCCCTTTTCTTAATACGGACACAAAGCTAAACTGAGAAATTTAATTTGAAAATGGAGTAACTTTTTTTTTTTTAGATCAGATCTAATTATTGTTCATGTGAAAGCAGCTAAAAGATGGAATAACCTTTTGACAAATATATTATTATTATTATAAATGGTATAATTCAGTAATTACTTTGATATATAAATGCATTATGTGTAGGGAAAAAAAAAAATTCAATTTAACTCATGGTTTTGGTGGAAAACTAAAAATGTAAAGTGAATATTTAATGAGGACCACAATATCCTTTTGCTAGAAGTAGACATCATTTTGTTGGAATAACTATTAACCATTCAGCTGGCAGGTAACGTGTTCAACTTATAAATTGCAACGATTATTTAGTAGTATAGTAAGAGTGTGTTTGGCATATATAATGTGCTATCTACGTGATATTTAATAACTTTTGTTAATATGAAGCGTAATTTTGATCAAATTATTTGACGGGAAGAGTAGTTTTGAGTCGAAATATAGTTCACTACAACAAAAACAAACTTTTAATGGCAATAAATATACACATTAATAAAGAGTGATAAAGTGTTTATCGGTATTAGGTAACTGTCATTAGATTCGAGTCGCTAAAGTCTATAGTGACACATACAAAGAGTGCTAATTGCCGCTAAAAATACATATTTAGCGGCAATTTGCTAATTATTTGTCGATAAAGCTCATTTTTGACGTAGTGTCTAAGGGTAAACGTGAGCTATTTCGAATAGTTTAAAGGTATTTTTGACAATTTCCGTTTAGTATATGTGCTAGTGAAACCTTATTGACGTGCAATGTGACATCATTTTGACATTTAAAAAACTTTCGTTAACAAGGACACTTTTGACCTAATAATTTAATGAAAAAAAGATTTTGAGCCGAAATATTATTTAAGAATAAATATAATCTATTTTAAATTATTTAATAATATTTTTGACCTTTTTTCAATTATTTAACACTCCCCTCGATACCAAAAACACCACAAAATTATAATAGAGACAAACACTATGGGGTTTTGGTGGTAGTAGAGTGAAAATTCTTGTCCAAAAAACTCCACATTAGGCTGATGTGTGAAGTACATGTACTTAGAAATTTTAAGATATCTATTTCAATATATTTATTAATTATACACCAAGACACAATAATAAGAGACACACATTCAACATATATAATAAGATAAGATATATATCTTCAATAATATTTTATTTTTTCTATATAAATAAATTATGTGCTCTGACCGTTAGTAGATCAAAGGGTTTATTGGTGATCAAATCCCCATGACCATGTCACACATATGTTGAACATAGCAACGTGACAAGACATGAAGTATCTTTACACCATGAAATTTTGCTTGCTTCTTTATACAAAAACATTTCACATTTTTCAAAAAAAGAAGATTCCAATGTGTATTAAACTCAACACTTATCGTTCGTTGGCAATTATGATTTTTAATTTTAAGTGTGTATAAGTAGACATTTAAACTTAAATAAAATTGAATAAATAAACACATTCATCCTACATGACACCCTACAGGGTAACTTTGTGTCCTAAGTGGCGTCCTACGTGTATTATGTCATGTAAGATACGTGTTTCTACTTGTTTAAATTTATATAAATTTAAGTGTTTATTTGTGCAAACTCAAAGTTAAAAGAAACAGTTATTCGTTAAAACTAAATTAAGTGTCATATTTATGTGTTATGCCTTTTCTTTTGCCTATCTACCTTTGTTCATTTAATTTGAGTATTTTTCACAATAAGATGAAGGGGGCATAATGTTTGTTTTGTCAAAGATATTACAACACACATATTTGTTTAGGCAATTTTTTTTTCTTTTGGTAAACTTGATTAGCCAAAAATTTGCTTATTAGGTCAACCAATTAAATTAGTTTGAATTATGTTACAAAGTAGCGTATATTATTCAAATATGTTAAATTTTTAATGATGTGAATAAAATGAGAGTAAAATTAAAAAATAAGTAGGTGTTTGAAGAAGTGTAACCAATTTGAATCAAAGTAAATTTTATTTGGTTTGATTATCTTTTTTTGATTTATTTTTTTATATTCGATTATTCTGCTATGTCAATAATCAGAAATATAATTAAATTTGTATTTGCAATTTTAATATAAATACATATGCATATTTATTTTAGTTTTTCTAAATTTCAATGCAACAAAAATTCAAACAAAGTAAATTACTAATTCAAAACCTAATTAAAAAAAATCAATCCAAATTAGAATTCTGTTTGATTTGGTTTGATTTAATCCAATTTGTGCACACATCAAATTTAGACATATAATTTCATCTCGTACATTAAAATCATGACATAAAATTTCAAATACTCCAAAAAGCTTAATTATAAAATTTTATATCATGTACACAATCAAATCAGTCTATAGGTGAAGTTTTTTTTCTTTAATTCGACCAGATCATATTTTTTTTCTTGTTTGATCTAGTTGTAATTGAATAAATTAAAGAGCTACATTTAGGAGTAATAAAATCAATCTAGCCCGTCCAACCGCCTAATCAATTTAAGTAAGAGTGGCTTATTAATACACTCATTTATTAGCTTAATTCAATTTATTTTAACCCATTAAAAATTAAATTGATGTGCAATTCAAATTGGAGTCCGGAGCCTAAAGGTATAAAATATTAACAAAAATTTTAAAATGGTATATAAAATTTTATATTAACAAAAACGGTAAAATCGCTGGAACAACAGCGATTTCCTCAACTGGAAAAAGCAAAATCACTGCAGTAGCAGCGATTTTGCAAAATGTGATTTTCTTTTAAATCGCTACCTAAGCAGCGATTTTCAATTTTTTTTTAAAAAAAACTTTTTTCTTTAGAAAACCGCTGCCTAGGCAGCGATTTTCATTTTTTAAAATTTTTTTTTATACCCTTTAGACTCCGGACTCATCCAAATTGGCTCATGAAAAATCTTTTCAAAGTATTTTATTTTATTTTCACTTTGATATGTTATATAGTCATGATACAAAATTTTATTTATTAGATAGTAAAATATTTTAAAAGACCAAGTAAAACAATTAATCTCAGTAAAAATGAAGTTGATCTTGACCTGCTATATGATCCATTACCTAATCCATTTTAAACCAAACAAATTTGAATTGAATTGATCTAGACTTAATTGTTATCTTAACCCATTATGCTCCGCTCAAATTTAATCTAATCCAATTGTCACTAGCTGCATTCTAGAAGACATAGTACAACATATATTGTTGACAATACCATTTTCTTCATATGTGAAAAATGTTATAAAAATAGGGAAAAGAACACTTCCTCAATCTACCTTCTAAAAAGAATTCCAATGATGGATAATGTTAACAATTTTAGAGCAGCACAATGAAATTCGAAATTCAAACAACCACTCCAATAGTTATAATACCATATATCAAGTGGACGATTTAAATCCTTCACCTCATTCCTATTACTCCAACATGCACAAGGATTAGGAATCTATTTGCCTTAAATCAATCAACAATCACTTCAATAGTTGAGTCTTCTTCTTTCAAATCACTTTTGAAGACACACAATCTATAAATAAACAGGTATTTAAAATTACTTTTCGGAAACAACAACACCCACAACATTTCCCTTGAATGATGGATCAATCTAACACAAAAAAACTCAGTTCTAAAATTACAATTTGAATCCGGAAAAACAATACTTGAAAATATTATTCAAGGCTCTAGGAATTCATTAGGAAAAAATCATTTCGAAAATAGATTTGAAAATCAGTTCATAACTCATTTTTACTTTAAAACTCAAGTTCAAACCCAAAATCTCGTTTTAAACTCATAAATTCAATAATAATATTGGGTATTCGAAGATTTAGAATTATGAAATGTTACCCGATCATTTTATCTTGAAAAGCCTGACTGAAATCGCCTCTACCGAATTCTCGAAGATCCAAAAATAAAAATGAAGAAACCCTCAAATTTGGGTTTAACACTGCAAGGGTTACTTCGCGAACGCGGAGATCAAACACCTTGACCTCCTTCGAACGTGAGGAGACTCCACAAATGCGGGATTCTCACCACTTACCCTCCGCGAACACGCAGAATTGCACCAGAACGCAGAAAAATAAGCTAACTCAAAATCACATATGAAAATTGATTATACTCGACATTCAAGAATTAATGGAACTGTCAAAACATGAATCTGAGGCTTCCTTGACCGGATATATGTGAAAATCACAAGAAATCAACTCAGTTCTAAAAAGGCTAAAATAAACTCGAAAACTCTCAAAAATCAATCAAGATCTCACCTAGGCCTAAAATTATCCTCCGAATCCAACTAAACTCTTGGAATCCCCATCCGAGCATCCGAACTTTACATTCCTCAATTTAACAACTTAGGACCTCAAATCCTCAAAAAATCTCAAAAACGGAACCGACAACTCTCACAAATTAGATTTCATATTTTGGGGCTGATGAAATCGACAGATTCCAATTTCGACACTCGAAACTCCAAAAGATACCATAAACCACTTTCTTAACAACTTAGCCTTTCAAACTCAAAACTTATCAAAAGTTTAAACTTTCAATTCAAAGGTAAAAACCAACTTTTCAAATAAAGATTTGGTTTGCTTTTAATTGGCGATAAAAAAAAATTGTTTGTTGATAATAGAATTTTTTGTCAATTTGCATGAATTTTGCTTTACACCTTTGTTCCTCAAAATTAGTGTACGTCTTTTATTTGGTTAAAAAAAAAAATCTCGAGTAAATATTATTAAGTTTGTTTTATTAGGGTAAATGAGAGAATATTTTACTCTATGACAAGACATCATTTGGTAAAGAAAATATATAACGAGTAAATATCCTTCATTTGATTTGAGGTTTATATCTAAAAGTAATTGGTTCATTGTTCAAGATTTGAAATAGTTTACTAATAATTTATAAATTAAGAATAAAATTTGAAAACTTTATGGATTAAATTAGAAAAGAAATTGAATTATTAAAGATTCCATAGTACTTCTTCTGTATATATTAATTTCAAAACCATGATATTTCCTTTTTTTTTCATTTTCCACAATTTAGTAAAGGGAAATTATGCTAATACCAATTGCTGTTTCACGTCTTACTCACTTCTAGAATTTTTATTCTATTTTAATATTGGAATAACCATTAATTATTACAATAAGATCATTAGTTCTTGTGATTTTTGTCAATTGACATAATTAATTGATTTTTAAGACATGTGCAACACCTTAAAATTACTTATTTTGAATCACAGAGAGTATTAAATTGAGATTAAAATAATTAAGCTTAATATGATAAAATTACCTTTTTAGTTAAATATATTTTTTTTAAAAACCTTTTTTTATGACCATTTTATCCAGATTAACTTTTTACATTTTAATTAATTTTACGAAATATCATTCACCTTCCACCAGCAATTGATAGTATGTAACTTTAAAAAGTCAATGAAAGAGCAATATAACAGATATATAGATTAAATAGAGTAGATGTTATTTATTGAACTAAAAATGGAAAAAATTTACTCGCAACGGGTGTTTACACTAAGTCAATGTAATCTCCATGATTATGTGATTTAATGAAATAAAATGAACAACAAATTTAAACACATAGCATGTATATATTGACTTAAACAATAAATTTAAACACACAACATACGTATATTGATTTGACATAAATGCTCATACCCGTAAATTTTACCTATTAAAATAGATAGATCAAAATGAGTTAGATGTTATCTATTGAAATAAAGAAGTAGAGATATAGCAAACACAAACACCTATGAAAAGATATTTTCATTAAAATAGATGTTATTATCTATTTTAAATTAGAAAAGTAGCTAGAGATATGGTATCTAGAATTCTAGTGAAACAAAAAAGTGTATATGTGGGGTTTTAATTATTTTCATGCATGCAAGCACATGCTAAGGTAATGGAAGGTGGGTTTCTTTAATGAAACTACCATATAATAAAATATATATTTGTTACATCTATTGTCCTAATATTATAAAAACAAAAAGGATGAACTTTATTTTCATGTCTTACTCCATTAAGGGTAGATTCTTTTTCTTTTTTTCAAATTTCACAAATAACCAAATTTTCTTCCCTCATCTTTTCTAGATTTAACACTTTTACCCCACATGCATCTCATCAACACAACTTTTACAAATTTTGGGAACTTGTCAACTTTTATGAGTTGGCAAGATATGTTGCAAAAATAACCATTGACACAAAAGATTTGGTAAATTTGTTTATTATTTTATTTGTCTCAATTTATAGTATTTGATTCGATATAAGAAAAAAAAACTTTTAAAATTTGTAATTTTAAGTAGGTTATGAGATTCTTGTTGTTATAAAAGCATGTTATTAAAACTAAATTAATATATTCAAATATAAATTTACTTTACTTTTTTTTTTAAGGAATTAATAAGGAAACATTACTGCATAGAGTGATGCAAACTTTATCCAGACTTTATGGAGGTAGGTTATTTTTTGAAGGATATTATTCGGTTTAATGGCAATAAATTGAAGTAATTATGCGAAGGAAAAATAATAGTGAAAAAATATAGAATTAATAAGAAAAGTAGTGTAGTACATTTAGAAAAGGAACAACAGCGAATAAGTGAGCTAATCAAAACACAATAAAAAAAAAGATATATATGATACAAAGATCGTGGTCTTATTTATTTCCATTAAAATTAAGACATATAAATTTAAATACACATATAAATATTAATACATGCAAAAAAATCTAGATATGTAAATCTAAATAAATATTTGAATATTAAAACATTGTTCTGAATCTGAACATTGAATTATTGAGACTTTGTTTTCAATATCTGAATGCACATATGAAATCTAACGCTATATCAATAAAATATTATAAAAACCTCATTTTAGTAAAATATTTTTTTATAGAAAATAATATTTTAAATATTCTTTCATAACAAGATAATATAATTTATCTATTAAAAATTTAATATTAAGTTACATAATTAATATGACTATTCTTTGTACTCAAAAACTTTGAGAATCTAATATAATGCAATGTAAAATAGTTTATATAGAGTAGTAATATAATTTATGAAAATATTTTATTTTATAATGGACATTTGTTATTGTTATCGATGAAATTATAATACTTTCTTATTTTCTGGAACCATACTAAATATTTTATCATGAAGTGTTTATCAATTCCAATATACTGGTTAATTTATGAAAGTAAAAGATTTATATTCCGTAAGAATATAAGAAATTACAACGGTAAGCATGTAATTAACATTAATTAAATAAGAAAAACCTTTCATGAGTTGTTGTGATGTAGTTGAATTAAGATTAAGAGTCTTATTTTTGAGTCTGAATGGTGTTAAGAGTGTGTTACAAATCTGATTCATTCACATGTAGTCAGACCCATTAAGAAGCTTATAAGAAAATAAAACAAACAAAACTAAATAATTAAGATTTAGTCATAAAAAATAAACATGCTAAATGAGGCGAATCTAATTGATTAAGATTCAGACCCTCATAAGTGCAAATAAATGATGCCTAAGTTTAATACTACAACAAATACTACCAAACCTAAATCTCCAGAAAAGCAAGACGACGCTTCACTATCTACTAACATTCTCCTAATACGCGACAACCACATTCTCTTATTTAAGATCATATTTTCGATAAACTGCTATTATGTCATGTCTTATGTAATTATGTCCACGTATTCAACAAATATATTATGAAGATGATGATATGATCATGCATTTACTCTCACTTCCTGTCCGATCCAATCTCATACCAGTTACATTGCACAAATAGAATAACAATTTTCATGATACATCATCATAATCTGACTCTAAATCCATTAAAAAGAGTAAAAATGTCAGTCATCAATAAGCTTTGTATTCAATATATACATTTGTAATAATATCAACAGTTCAAAATCATAAATAACAACGAATAGATTTGTGCTTTTATTCAAAAGCCACTAAGTTATCCTCATTTAGAAACTTGTTAATTTCTTTATACAATTAAAATTTTATTATGTCAGTAGAATTTTGGAAAAATTAGATCTACAATCAATAATGTTACTTCAAAATTTACTTGTGTGTTTCCTCCAAAACTTTGATATTACCACGATAATTATCATTTACTGAAAATTTAAACAAATTTACACATAGGAATCACAGCAAAATCAAAACAGAAGTCTTCATTGTAGCAGCAAAATTTCTAATCATCAATAAACTCATTTTCTTGAGCTAACACAAGATAGAAAAGGACCCGTTTTGCTATGGTTGTAAATGTTATTTCGTTTAGTCGATAAAATTAAAATATACAAGATTGACATAAGTGTTAATTCCATGGGACATCTAACCTCATGAAATATTACTTCTTGCAAAAAGTAAATAAAACAGGGAATAACATAATAACTTTAATTTCATTAATGAGATAGATAAAGGAGCAAACGTAAGATAGATTAGGATTAAACCATAAGATAGAGAAAAAGGATCAAAACATAAACGAAGGAACTTAATTAAAAATGTGCTCGTTGCTCTTTTGATTCACTAATGTGTCCTTTGATGCAGAGGCAACAGCTTCAATATCACTACTTAAAACAACAATAGAATTTCCCCTTTCGTTTGTTTCAGACGCGGCACTGACCAACTCCTCAAGAATGTCAAAGAGAGCCGCCAACGGATAAAGTATCCATTAACATTTGTTTCACACGACGACTCCTATCTACTTTATCATACTCATCATTAGCAACTCGACCTTCGATGGGAGATCCTTAAGCTTATTACGAGATTCTTTGTATAAAATATTATGATTGACCGGAGACCCATGTCACGGCTCACAAGTAATTGTTTTTGAAGGGATTCAGCATCCCACCTCAAGCAGCTCAAGCAAAAGTGAAAGAAAAACATGGATAGAACCCCTTTAAAAAAGATTACTAGTGAGTCGTTACATGAGTCTCCGATCAATCATAATATTTTGTACAAGAGAACTTGTAATAAGCTTAAGGATCTGAAATCGGAGGTCGAGTTGCTAATGTTGAGTATGATTAAGCAAATAGAAATCGATTGAGTGAAGCGAATGTTAATGGATACTAATCCGCTGACAACTCTTTACGACATTCTTGAGGAGTTGGTCAGTGTCGTGTCGTGTCTGAAACAAATGAAAAATGAAATTATGTTATTGATTTAAGCAGTGATACTGAGGCTGCTGCCTCTGCATCAAGGGATCCATCAGTGAATCAAAAGAACATTAGCACCTTTTTAATTAAGTTTGTCGTTTATGTTTTGGTCATTTTTCCATCTTATAATTGGGTCCTAGTCTATCTCATCCACTGTCATGATTCATGTTGTACCGCGTTTGGAGGCTTGGAAATTCAGAAGATCAAGCTAGTTATAGGAACACAAATGGATATACATACTCGTGACACTATGTAAGGTGTTGGAGAGCAAATGGAGCGGGAAAGGGCTGAAGGAGGACAAAAAGAGGCTAAGGCACTTTCTAGGGAGACCAAAATTGGTTAGCAGTACTATACCCTGAGAACAACTGCTACTACAATTTTTGGCCTAAAATTTAAAAAAGTTTTAGTGCCTTTTTACACATACATAGCTTTCCCAAGAAAATGGTGCTTTGGAGCTGAAGGACTTGCATATGGCTCACCCTCATTAAAGGAAGAAACATTGCCGTAATATTTGGCAATTGTGTTCGGATATGAGGAAAAAGAAGATAAGGAAGGCCTTATACAATTTCAACTGGAATATCTAATAAACATACCAAGTCAAATAAGGTTTGGAATATGGATCAATTCTATCCACAATCAAATTCTCCATCATCCTGAAGAACTAATTCCATGTGAAGGAGATGGGGGTTTAAGACAAGGAGATTACCTCCCCTTCTAGTTATAGAAGGTCTTGGTATGATACTTAAAGCTGCATTCAGAAGGAATGGACTCGGTGGTTCTATGTGGGTGGGTGGATGGGAAGGGGATGGTTTTTGCATATAAAAATAAATTAATAGCCAATGTATATATCAATGAAGGTTCTATTTACAGTACGTCAAAAAACCAATGACCAGCACTTCATGCATGCCTTTTTAACTACTGTAGTTCTTCACAAGATCAGAAGAAGCTTTACATACTGATAGGGAAAAGCAAGCAAAGCCTTCTACCTTTACACAAGGAAATCCATCTTTTTTGAGAAATGGTTAGTGTATTATTAATGTAGCGCCAAGAAGGTGCTGTTAAAAATACTTAAAAAGTGCCAGAAGAATATCCTTTCTATCATAACGGGATTCTATGAGATCTATCACTGCTTCAGCATAAGACAAACCTACACTACACATAGTCAGAACAAGGATTACAGAAGTACCAAGGCGTACATAGTGAAATGACTTCATAAGTAACAAAATAAAATGTAAGCTTTGGCAAGGGACGAATGGGAAGCAGGTGCAGCAAATGCAGCTTAAGTATTGCCAGTACCAATATCTTTAATTCATGCATATTTACAGCAAGAACAGGCTAAAAATGTCCTTGTAAAAGCTAGAAGTGATAAGTCCAGTGCAAAGCAAGACTGCTGACCTTCAACTTGGTAATTGATCAGACATCCTCACTAACTGCTCTCAGGTTGTTTTGGAGAGCCTTCAAAGGCTTTTGCCGCTTCAATAGTTGCGTCTCTTCTATTAATGACTTCCCAAAGCTCCTCAACCTTATCTTTCAACATGCCAACATTAGAATTGGTCGAGTGAACCAACTTGTTTGCAGTCTCCAGTGCAGTGCATAGCTAGAATGCAATAAAAAACAAGAACGTATTAAGTGAAAACATACACAGACACACTGCATATGGTGAAATGTATGAAAGAGAGAAATAGCAGAAGCTTTGTGGATAGGTCTATTCTATTCATAAAGTTAAATGGAATTGTATAGTATCTTTTTATTATTGATGTAAAAAGATAGAAATAGATAAATTAGTAGATTTGTTAGGATCCTGTAAGTAACTTCTGCCTATTCTCTTTTGCTTCTTTTGAAGGTCTCCAGTATATCCATATCCTTAATGCTGAGGAATACAGTGTTATCAACTTTTTTTTAAAAAAAACATTCTGAGTTATAGGTTTAGAGTCCCTCTCTCTCTTAATTGTTTTTAAATTTTTGGATAAGAACAGATTTAGTCTTTTTTGTTTTGTTTTTCATTAAGTAAAACAGATTTAGTGTCTTTTTAGAGGTATTTTAAAATGGGGCTGATCCAATGTGTCAGATATAAAAAGGGAATTGTGTGACCAACAACTCCATCTGCTCGCCACCCATTTACCTATTTTGGCAATTACAGATGCATAGAGTATAAACAATACAATCATTACTCCATGTCAAGGATGTGAATGCTGCAAATCACAATGCCACTGGATTCAATTTGGTACATATAACTACCAGCGCTAGATAAGGTTGAATAGAAATATTTAAGATCCCAAAGACCAAGATGAAAAATTCATTCTGTCTCATGCCCTATTGAGGTATCCCGTACCCTCTATAACTTCTCATATGAAATCAACTTCTATTACGGGTATTACCTCCAGTGTGAGATGCGTCCATGAATGATCTGTGCCAGCAAGTGCCTTGTTCAGCTGCTCATACTTTTCCTAAGCAATAAGCAAAATATTAACTTGCTACGTGACTTAACATCCAAAGGAAGAATATTACCAGTGCATTCAGAAAGAAAAATGAACGCCCAAACATTACACAATAGCCGACTTGTGCTACTAACAGAGGTCATTTAAAAGCAGACAGTTCCGTTCCAAAAGAATAAAATGTCAAGGTGTATGGTGGATGAATTAAACTTCCCCAATTAAGGAGCAAACTATCCTAAGCCTGGCTGATGTAGGGAAAAAAACGTGAATAAAACATACTTCACTGTTTCACCATATTCTATTAAGACTTCACAATTGCTAACAATACTCAGACTGTAGGTTTAGGCGAGCTACTACGGGAGTTTTGATGTGTCAAAAAACTCCCCTTGCAGTAATTTTATGTTTATCCTCCTGTCATAGCCTAATTTTCATCATCAAGAACCAAATGCTTGTAGGACAAATCGTAGCCCTTACTCACCATAGGAAAACAAAATTGCCAAAACCTAGTTGCAGCAGAATGAAAGCAAATGATTTTGAACACATAAGTTTCACATACATCAGAATTTGAACCCTGAATAGAGTGGAAAATGCAAACACACAAACTGTAATTTCATATGATCTATGAAGTTTTTTCCGAGAATGTGTTATGGTGCATGAAGTTAACTACCTCTTTATATCACCCAAAGTATAGTATCGCGGTTTTTGTCATAGCAATTCATATTAGCTACTGCAAACTTTAGACTAACTTCATAACAGTTCCAAAGCATTAGTGTCTCCAAAATTTATGGCAGTACCAACAAATTTGACTAAAATTTCTGCTCACACATTCTGAACACGAATTGACTTCTCATCACTATAGGAGGCACAAGTAAAACCTTACTTTATTATATCTCCAACATTCACAAGAGCGCACTATATCTCTAACATCACTCAGAATAAATGCAAAAATAACTATGAATAAAACAAAATAGAGAAGACAATCAATATATGCAATACCAACAAGACGATAATTGGTTTGAGATCTGAATCTAAATCATTTCATCATAAAAGATAGCAAAAATTTAGTATAGTGATAAAAAGAATGAATAAAGATAGAGAGTGTGCGTTGTGTGGAAGAGAACCTGAAAGAGCTTGTTTAGATCGGAGGGTTGGAGGCTGGAGTTGAAATCCGGTGGAGGTGTATTGATTGGGTGCGACGGAAGTTGATCACCGCCGGCATCGCTTTCTCCAACGTCACTCAGCAGATCGCCGATGCATAACAACGGCCCTCCCACTCCTCTCATCTCTCTCGTTGGTTAAGCGTTGTACAAAATCAACTCGAAAATTGGACTAAACCATAAATTGAGTTAAATTGGAAAAATATTATTGACTGATGATTTAGTTCGATTAAATTTGATATTAGAAAAAATCTGATTATATGTTAGTTGGTTTGATTTTACTTTTAAAAAAAATTAAATCAGTCCAAAGATTTTAATTTCAATTTTATATTTGGCATATTTAAAGCCATAAGATGGACAATTTTGTATTCTATTAATTTAGCATCACAAAATTCAAAAAAAAAAAAATCATACTTTTAAACGCTGTACAGAGTATATAATTTTTAAAATTTTATTTTATATTTACTTTTACATAATTTCAACATCTTTACAAGTGGAAGGAGAGCTAAACAACATTGGTTGAAGGACGGTGTTGAAAATTTCATAATATTTAGAAGGCGAACGAACACGTTTTCATTTCAAAGTATTTGGCAGATGATGCATATATGTGTATGTATATATATTCATAGTTATAGGTTAATATTATTAATAATGTTTACTGCTCTATAAAGATGCATCTAGACAAGTTAATTTTCATAAATCTGAAATATATTTCATTAGATATATACCACAGAAGAAATGAAGGATGTTGTTGCATCCATTCTACACATAAAATACACTAATGATATACCCAACATACTAGTACTATGAAATCCTTAACAAGAGTAGAAATATGCACATCAAGTCACATGACATATTCAGAGTCGAAGGAAAGTATGCAAACACATAAACATCAATATATCCCAAGTCAAATAATATTGCAATCGAAGAATGAAAAATCAAAAACAATACATGTAATAAAGTAGCAATGCTGCCTCTAGCGGTCTAGCATACCCGAAAACCATAACACTAGGCACGATCGCCCTTAGACTATGAACCTTCACAACTTCCACCTCGTCAGGAATAGAAACCACTTCTAAGGGTCAGTATTCGTGTGGCCTTAGAACCAAAGCCTGAGAACCGTGATGCAAACCACCCCACCTGAGCTTGAATTTTTGTCACAATGTCTTGTGTCACCACACTCAAAACAATCCCTTCTGGGCATTGACACGAGCAACTTGAATGACCGAAAATATTGACATATTACCTACGCAGGAATCTTTCAAGATATATAAGAAGAGAAAGTATAGTATAATTGTGTAGCCACGAATTACAGCCCAAAATATGACCAGACAAAAAAGTATAACTGTCAAGGACTCCCAATTTCAAAAACCATGGGTCCTAGTCCAGCAGAAACTTAGGAGAAAAACATTAAACCGAAATTCGTCTCGGAAATTGGGCATCAGAGCATTAGAATGTCAATGCAACAGAGTCGCCTTAACTTATATAGGAAGGAGACGGCCAACAAAAATAAGGACCATATCCTAAAGGTAGCTTTGGTAAAAACAGCCACTATATAGAAGACCCCATTTATCTACGCATCCTATTAGATGTCAGTCCAGCATTGAGCCCTTGCTATATACGCATCGGGCAATCTAATCTGAAGATCTGAATTCTACTTAACCTATAAACTACCTTGGTATCTACACACCAGAGTTGCACTTACTTCCAAGATATCACACTTCCAACTTCAATTTAACCAGATTAATACACACAAAGGCTCGTTTATTTGAAATATGAACTAATAAACAGCCTTGCCCCAATATCAAGGGGTCCATACCCTCCTCCAATAGCGTGAAGAGCAACAGTGATTGTTGAAAGAAGTCGCAGAGTCACAGGGAAAACAGCAGGTTCAATCTTTGGTATACCAGGAAGACAAGATTTTGAAGCATTTCCGATTTGTAACACACCGCTCCCTTCCTGATCATTTGGTCCACACAAATCCAGTTCTTGGTTCAGTTCACATGGGCTAAGAATGAGTGCTACTTCTTCAAGAGATCTGCACTTCCCTGGACTACCCCTCCTGTTAAAGCGCTTATTTGTAGACGGACTAAGTACCAATGTTGAAGTAGCCTCAAGCCACTCCACAGTCAGTCCCTCAACTTCATCATAATATATTCGCTGTTCAGTCTGAAAGTGTACAAAACCATATAAACAAGACATTCAGAGAATAACGCATGATATACATACCAAGTATAAACAAGACAGAGACGGAAGGAATGAACAACTTGCTGGGATCCAACAGAGAAAACTGGTCCTCAAGGGAACTTCTGGATTGTAAATAATAAATGGATCAATCAATCAGGGTAACAAACTTACAGCAAGCTTGTGGATGTATATTGACATGAATCGTGGTCCCAAACCCATAACTCTTGCTTCTGAGAACAGTATCTGCATGGAGGATAACACACTAATTCAAAGGACTATTATTGTCCTTGAAAAAATCAAAGGACCATTCGTGTCCTTGAAAAATTGATAATGTACAAGGATGAAGTCAAGATAAGTGGTCAAAGTTGAAAGGACTATGCATTTTGAAAATTCCAATAAAGAGCACGGGAAAAAGTTATATAAATAATCAGGTTCTGTAATCCTCTCATCTTTCCTATGTGGAGTTATTGCGCCTTTTTATAGATACCTTGCAACTTCTGTTGATTAGGTCCTTCGAAATCCATGCCACACCCAACATAGCTTGCAGCACGACTAACAGTACAAAACCTTTTTCCTTTTTTTTTGTTAGAGAGTACAAATGCTGTTATTATCCTGTCATTCTCATTTTTGAAACTTGATTGACATAAGTTATCAGAGGACTACTTTTGATCCTAAAAAAATTTACACAGTACAAGCAAGATCCCCACATCTTTCCCATGTAAAGCTATTGGAACTTTCAAGACAAAAAGACTAGCAGCACAGAATGAAGTACAAGGATCTCCAAAAAGACTAGCAGCACAGAATGAAGTACAAGGATCTCCAACAGTACCTTCCTCTTTGGGCTGTAAATTCAACCCCCAAACTGTCTTTCTTACAACCTACTACGCTGAACTTCTAGATTTCTTCATGTTCTCCACTCAAAGTATAAGTAGCCAAATATCATTAGTTGTTTAATTAGTCAGTTAGAGCTAACTTCGCTTGTAACTGTTCAATTCTCCAGCTATCTTGATGCTGGCTTCATATATAAAACCACCTTACTTATCAAAAGATATGACAAGCCTTGTGTGTTTGCTAAATTCTCAAAATACTACCAAGTTTAAGTCATTTTTCAATGGCTGAAATCAGCTTCAAGATCAGAGATGTTACAGTCAAACAACATGCTAATGAATTTAGTAGCTTCAATGACATGACAAATTTTTAAGTTCCTATAGAGTTCTGTTGCTTTCAGGATGTAAATTCAGCCCCCTAAACTGTCTTTCTTTTTCTTTTTTCTTTTTTTTTTGATAAAGTTGAAGCCCCCCTAGACTGTCTTTCTTACACACTAGTTGCTGTCATTCCAAAGAATTTCATGTTCTTCACTCAAAAAAATAACAAGCCTTATGTGTTTGCTAGATTAAAAAAAATAAAAAATTACCAAGTTCACGCCATTACCCACTCTTTTGCCAATGGCTGAAGCTCAGCTTCAAGATCTTTGACTTACAAACATTCAGCTAAGCCCTGATAGTATTTCAGGTATCAAATAAAGCAATTTGGGTGAAAAAACTCAGGTTCACTGATAGCTTATTATCATCAAGAAACGCAGATGGTCAAGCATGAAACACAAGGCAGAAGCTCTTAACTTTTTTTCACCCCACCCACCCACCCCAAAAGAAAGAAGCTCAAAAGATTTGATATTAGTGCAAGATATCCATTTATCTTGTCAAGACTAAACCAGCATTTATCTTTAACAGGCACACTAATTAGAGGTCATCCCACAACACCAATTGCCACCTCCAACCCTCATTTATTGTAGAAGAGTAGAATGTTTTAGACATACTTAACGTACCTCCTTTCTTTTTAGAAGTACCCACATGTAGAGTTTCTCCATAGCATCTTTCACGTGCCTGCAAGCCAACTTTCTTTCATTGCAATGGGAAGCAATATAAGCAAGAGTTTCTGCAGAGGGAGCCTTATGTTTTGATGCTGCTGCAGATAATGCTTCTTGAGCTTCAGGTGATTCAATTGCATCTTTATTGAAGTATACATCGGTCAAACATCTTTGGCGTCTCATTTCTCCACGATCTGGATTTTGCAACAACTTGAGCTTCAGATACACCTCTTCAGCTTCTACAGCTGCAGCAAGCATCCGATGCACCAGAATATCCGGATAGCGCCGGAGCGGAGAAGTAAAGTGTGTGTATAAAGGAACAGCAAGGGCATAATGACCCCTATCATTTTCATCTTCTACATCGCCACTGCAGAAGTAAGTTGCCAATTGCATGGGTCTTGCAGCGTAACACATAAGAATATCTGTTAACACAGAATCATCTGCAAGCTCTCGTCTAATGCACTCCAACGAATTATGAATCTGGCCAGACGAAGTGGTATCCAATCTCAGACCATGTTTAGAGCAGAATGACTCAAACTCTCTGAGCTTACGCGGGTTGGGTTCAGGATGCCTTCGCAATAGTGCACTGGAAGGATAAGCTCTAGTTATAACTTCAGCAGCTGTCCTGTTGGCCAAAAGCATAAACTCCTCAACAAGCATGTTTGACTCCTTCCTTCCACTGAGCACACTATCATAAGGTATCCCATCTTCATCAAATAAGAAAACAATTTTGGGACTTTCGAGTGACAGAGCCCCATCTTCAAACCTCTTTTTCTTCAAGATTATAGAGATTTCATAAAGGTTCTTGACAGATGTAACAATATCAGACCATTTAAAAAGGCCGTGTAACACTGGCCAAGAATGTTCTCCTTTATAAGAACTTGGATCATCAAGCAACCCATCAATAATATCCTGAGCATGATCATACGAGAGCTTGCAACAAGATTGAATTACAGTGCGGCCAATCCAGCGCTGAATAAATTCCCCAGACTGATTGATGTCCCAAAAAATAGAAAAAGCAAGTCTGTCCACACCAGGATTAAGTGAACCCAGATTCTCAGAGAGCAATGGGGGTAACATTGGCAATTTACTTTGCAACAAATACACACTTGTTGACCTCGCTTGAGCATTTTCATCTAAAGCTGAGTCTGGTTGAACAAAGTATGAC